GGTGAAAAAGACCATCCTCGAACAGTTTCCAAAAACCTTTACTCCCTCTATGGTTTGTATTCTACGATTTCCCTAATCTATATGCCTGAAATCAAATTACCCATAATTATGACTTCATTAACAGCTGAAATCTTAATCTCATTGTAAAGTTTCTCACTAATTTCATCAGTATCATCTGGTGTTCTGTAACCAATTCCAACTAAAAGCCTTTTCTCTTTATATCTATTAATAGAAACCCAAATGGATGTAATCTCTTTGGTATTATCTTTGATATCCTCAACTTCAACAGGATGTAACTCACATTTTACCTATAAAGTCACTCCTCCTCCCATCTTTAATACTCTATCCCTATTAAATAGCCTGTAACCCTATATTTCCAAAAAATGTTGTCATCAAAATCATCTATGTTTAACCATGTTTCAGTTATTCCCATTATATCAAAATCCTCTGTTCCTACCAGTGCTCTAAAGTCATCTATTTTATTTCTTATACTTTTAGCATTACAATAGTAACAGTTAAGCTTATCCTTATGACTACTTCTATACTCATTTCCTATAAGTTATGGCCGTTTTTTTAAGTGCCTTTATCAACCCCTTATACTAATTAATTAGGTCCTCTGACCTACCTTTCCCTACATCATTAGCCCCTACATGTACTACAAAAACTGCATCTCTGCTAGCTTCCTTTGTTATATCTCTTGCTCTGTCAGTTATATCCTCCACCTGTGCCCCTGGGTTACATAATCTGATTCTTTTCTCCCTATTTACCCCACAGACTATTCTATCCACATGCCTTATCAAGGAATAACTTATAACTATAACCTCCTTATCATCCACATCCTTCTCTGACCATTTTGTTTTCCTTCCCTCTAATAGTTACCCATCTGCAGAAGCCAAGGGCTGGAATTTGTTGCTCAATACCAGGGCTGTTCAGGCAGGATGGCATATGACAGATATGGTAGTGGTTGAGAAACTATCTATATTAGTAAAATGTTTGACAACAACTGTTACAATGTAAACGAGATTAAATCCACCAGAGTATGTTTTCATCAATTTTATTTATGTCATAACACATCAGAATTAAGAGTAAGGATTTTTTAGCAGCATATTAATTATTTATTTTAACACCATACATTATTAATGATTATTTTCTTGAATTAACCTATTTATCATTCACAAGAACTGGTGAGCCAGCAATGTTACTGAAAATTGCCAATCTTCTTCTGAGTTTATATAAAACAAGATTCAGTTTTCTTAGTAGAATGAAACACATTCTATGTATGTAGCTGTTGTGAAAAGGCACAAATAAATTTAGCTGTGAACTAGTTTTAAACTTTTCTATTTATCATAAAACCTTACAACATACCAAGTCAAGCAGGTAGAACATATCATATTCTGTGTGATATAAATAAAACTAATTACATGCCAAAAATAGCAATGTAATACACTGAATGTTGAACTTGAAACAATAGTGTACAGAGGGAGCTCAAGTACTCACCAATAATACAACCCATTGTGGTAGACAAGTTTGTAGCCATAAACTTTCCTCGAGGCACAAAATTATTCAGGGCTTCTAAGACACTTTTATTGACACTCTTGGTATCAGGTGTTGCTGGTGGCTATGAATTTTGAATTGAAAATATATATGTAAAAAATACAGGGAAAAAACTTAATATATTTCAAAATTATGATATAACATCTAAAAAAGTGCTGTATTTAGATTCTAAAATTAAATGTACACTTTTCTGTATTTATGCCATCATGTTTGTCAGGGAATTTCTTTCTCAATTTTATAGCTAGAAAGGCTAAAGTTAGCAAGCAGACTTGGGGGGGGGGGCTTTTAAATGTGCTTAGAAGGCCACTCAGACATGATGTCATGTCTGAAAATGTTCATACCAGCCACTCACTAGCTAGAAGGATCAAAGGCAGGTGTCCTAATGAAGTTTTTTTTATGGGTCATATCCATCCCCTTGGGGTAGTTATAGAAGTAACTGGGATAATGGAGGAACTTAATCAGTACATTGAGACTCCTGTGAATCATTAGAATGCCTTTAAACACTAAATGGGTATTCTAAGCTAGTGGGTATAAAGTACTCTTCCTCTATTATAAGAAAATGAACTGCACCAAAGTACAGTCATGTACTAATAGTTTACAATGTGACTGGCTGTCATCCAACCAACAAGAAAGTTTCAAACCAGTATAGGAAATCATACTATAATAATAATTATCAACCATTAGATGCCAGAGAAGAGAACTATATCACGTTCAAGAAATGTAGACAGTAAAGTATGATGGGAAACCATGTGGGAGATCTACACAAAATTAATGACATCCTGAATGTTAACAGGTAAAAGCAGAATCATGTCATTCCTTCAGAAATAAGACTTGTTGGGCAGGGATTCATCTGCTAGCAAAAAAAGAATCCCAAACAGGGGTGTAGTGCTGCTCGAGCACCACTCCAGCATCTGAAACTGGAGCTGAGTCCCAACACTTCAAAAACTAAAATATGCACATGAAAAAGTTATTCAATTTATGCCTGAAATTGTCTTTCATATACAAATACCTAACCAAAGGTCACTTTTTTTAGCTCTTCACATTGGCAGGGTAGGGGTATGTGATGCATTATAAAAATCAAGGTTATTAATATTATAGTGCAGTTAGAAAGATAGTACATTATTAAAATATGAAGTTTTATTGTTAGTGATTTTTATTTGGTACATGGTTGTTGTTTTTTGCCTTGGTGCTTAATTTAAAGAAAGATACGTTTTGTGTATTCTCTCACTCCCATGTGCATATTCAATATGACTATAGTGTAAGTAGTCTCAAATAATTAGTGTTAAATATATTTTCTTTATTTAAAATGGACTCAAAACAATTGAAATTAGTCTTTGGCCTTATGGCAACATCACACACCTGACAAATTTAACACAACACCACTAATTCCAATTGCGCTACAAACGTAGTGATATGTGATATGATACCTGGAAGAAAAAGGGACCAATGGAACACTATGGCTTGACATATAAACTCCTGATATGAATATTATTTAAAACTATGGATTTTAATGAACACTGATAAGGTCAAATGGCAATTAAATAACTTGGCTCAAATATGAAGAGTATTACATGACATTTGGAACATTTCACAATCATAAATAAATAAACTTATAGTTGCATAAAAACAGGGTGTACTTCTCTGTTTAAGACAATTTATTATACAAAATACAAGTATATTATACAACTTATTTGCTTTTCTTTTGCATTTTCTGAAATAATGTATTAAAGATAAAATAGACATGTATTTACAATTGCTAAATATTTGTGACTCCTGTAAGTATACCACCTGTACATTTCTATAATTATTTCCAGTACTGTACATTTCACCAGATCCCAATAAAATCGAAATACAAGACAGGCAGTGCTTGTATTAAAATAATTATCAGTATATGTAAAATACATAAAAAGATTTTTTCTTACTGTTTTAAGTAAAACATTAATTTTATTCAAAAAAAAAATCTTAATATAAAAATATGAACAATTGTGATTATATCCAAAATCAACTGTAGGAGAAATTGTAGCTGCATTCTGAAACTTTTATCATGGATTTATTCATCAACTTTACAGCAAGGCTAGAGTAGTTCAGAAAGGATAATCTTTTGAGTCATCCAGAAATATATTAACATGTATTATTTTTATAAAATATTAAAATACTATAATGCTATTATGGCATACCTTTGCTTGTGAAGTTTATCATAAAAAGACATTTACTGGCCTTTCTTTTAATTTTACAAGTTATATAACAATTTTTAAAGAAAACTTGGTACAGATCTTAGTTTGCTGTGTATATAAAATCTTCGTCACTTATGAATTTTTACATGAACAGTTTGACAACAACAACAACAAATTATGAAAAAAGTGTTTTCCTATCTACCTGATTGATCAAATGATTTGTTTTTTTTGAACAAATGAAATTTCAATAAACCATCAACGTATGAAGTTTCTAAATGTTCACTTTTTTATAACTTTGCCATATATTGATAAATATTCTTAGTGTATTCACAAGTATAACTAAGATGTACTTTTAAACTAGAATGCCATCCGCAGTATTTCTTCAAAAAATAAAGCTTGTATTTCTTCATTAAAACTATCAATTTATCTGTCCTTTTTTTTGCAACCAAAGTTACATTGGTTCTACTTCACAAAAGCTGCTGACATGAGAGAAAGAGCAAGCAAATTTAAGGATGTTAAACAAGTTTAGTATATTGGATCACTACTTGAGTGAGTGTGACACAGACATCCATTCAAATGATTTTAAGATCTTAACAAAGACCAATCATGAACAAAGCTTTTGTATAAAATAGTTTGCTCATGCACAAGCTAAAATTGAAAATTAACTAAGTCAGTTTAGCTTACAAATAAATGCTGGTCTTATAGCTTAGAATTCCTCATAGAAACTGAAAACTACAAGACATATTTATGTTAGTTTACGGACAAATTATAATTACCTTCAACCGAAGTTCTCACTACACCCACTTTCTTAATTGAAAGTATTATTTCATGTATTACTATAACATGCAAAGACATAACTCACTGAGATATCTTCTAAGGCTGGCTCATTTATGATAGGTGGGCAGGTGGTAATTTCCAATGTTGCCACTGCATTTAAATTCAACAGCTTCATCTTACTACTATAACTGCGAAAGGTTCCCATACCTGTTGAATGATGAGTGGATACATTATTTTCACAAGACTTGTTTCCATACAATAATGACTATACAAGCACTAACTGACTAAATGGCTTTCAAGATACACCTTATTTGTACAAACGAAAAATACTGACCTATTAAAGGTTGGTAAAATGATGGTGATAAAACACTTCTCAAGTGGCTCTCTGTTGCTCTTCCCAAGATAGCTAAAGACCAAACAATGTCCAGCCAAACAGCTGAATCTGGAATATTCTTTTGAACCAATTCTGAAGAAATCAAAGAAAATATGGGCCCAGGGTTTTCAGGTATGTAGTTAACCTTTGCTAATGTCAGTAAATATGCTACCCACTCTTGGGGACGGCATTTGTCAGAATATTTTAGTAGCCTTTCTCCACATGCTTCAAGTAAAGCTGAAAACATAATAAATATTAATTAATCTTCATCAAAATATGAAATAAGCAAAACCTAAAATCAACAACCTATACTCAAAAATGAAATACTTAAACAAGTGCATGCTGTATGAATAAACAAAAATATAAAATACTTATAAACTTTCTATAGGGATTTTTGTAAAGTAAATTTTACCCATACATATTCCACGTTAATTCAGAACTGTAAATAATTAATTGTTCACCCTTCATTATATTGGTAGTATTTATTTTATTTTTTTTTAATTTCTTAATGTTTTCAACATCTATCTTTCTATATCTATCTAAACATACATACATGAATATACATAAATCAAAGTTCTCAGTCTAATGTATTGATTCCACAAGTTCATGCAAGTAACTTACTGAACCAATGTTAATGAAAATTGGTAGAACTAAGGTAGACTCAAAAGATTCAGCGTAAAGGAATAACTAATCGAGCAACTGGTTCAGTGTTGGCAGCCATTTCAATCTTTACAACAAGAAGCTGATGACAGTTACGTGATGTTTAATGCCATGAGTAGCATGGGTTACTTCACTGACTGCTCACACTAAGTAGATCTGCACAGTGAATGGTGCATATTGTTCAAACATCCTCATGAAGTCAATGAAATAAATGATGTGCGAGTACATTTGTTAATTTTATAACCAGTTCTAGAACTAAAAAATAATAATTTTTCCAATGAAAAAGTATGAATCTGGGCTTTCAAAGTGTAAACGTACCATCCCAAGCATTCAAACTTGCGTTTATAGCTTCTTATTCCACTCTAACTAGTTTTCCACTCAACTTCTTTTAGAAGTCTGTCATTTCATCAGCATCTAAATTTTATAATGTTCTGGGTCAAATGCATCTTTGATCCTTTCCACCACACAAAAGGAGAAAAAACAAAGTGTGACTATTCAACATATCAGCTATGAGCCTGGCATCAGTAATTAAAATACTGTTATTCTCCTTTAAATTTTCTACATTGTACTTTATTATTTGTTATTCACAGGAATATAAAATCTCTTAGTTAAATTTTTATTCACACAATCCCTTTTTTCCTAAATAATGGCACAGATAATGTTAAGATTATAATAAATTAAGTTTGAGTTCCTAATTTTCAGAAAGCGAACTGTGAGACCGTGAGACAAGGTTTATCATTAGTGAATTTGGATAACGAGTTAAAGGGTAATGTGGGATAGATCTGGAAAAACGTTTATAAATAAACTGCTTTTAATTCAAAATAGACATATTCCTAAAATAATCAGGTAAGGAACAAAGAATATTAGGACTTCATCTGAGTGAAGTGAAAGAATATTACAAGGATAAGAGGAGAGAGAAGTACTACAAATACGGTAAAATAGCATGATAATAGTGTGTGGATGGTCCACTATGGTAGGATAGAAACAGATTAATGTCTGCTCAGATCAATGAAAACAGCATGGCAAAATTATTCATGGATCATGCACTATACAGCTATTAAATTTACTCTTAAGCTTCTGGATTTCCAGATCTGATGGAAAACTCCATTTTTTACCAAAATAGTGATATTTTCTGCCATTGAGTCAGAGATTGCTTGATAATACAGATGGAAATTCACTCAATAACATGTCTAAAAGAAACTTTCTTGGCATGATGGTGGATAAGTGCTCTGTTGCAATTAGCAGAGCTAATATAAGTTTAGGGTGTATTTATGGATATACAGATTATAAATCCAAAGAAGCAATCATCATCATATCTTTATATAAGGTGGACATGTTTTGTAAACCAAATCCAAGAATACTTTTTACCTGTACTCATCATAATTCCAGATGCAACTGTACTAGAAAAATGACGTGTCAGGATATTTTAGGGTTGATTGTTTGGACCACGGACAACAAGTCGCCATAAATTGGAGATGTATGGTCACCCTATCTTTATCCAAAATTCTAATGGGCATCACTGGATTACTGTGTACAGTTTAGTCTCTTTATCTAACAAAATATATTGACTTACTGAAAGTGGTTCAAAGGAGGACTACTAGGATCAGTACAATGATTCAGAAGAGAAAAGAGTTGTATCATAGGATAGGTTAAGATCTCTTAATTTGTTTTCTCTTTGTAAAACAAAGGATAAAGGGTGATCTTATTGAAACTTACATGACTATATGCAGTGATCAATAGAATGAAGGCCTCTCATTTTTTTACCTATATTCTGAAAAACAATATGAGAAGACAAAGGTTTAAGATTTGGAAACAATGCTACGATTCTGTTAAGACAACTTTATTTTTATAACATGTGATTGGCATATATAATATGATGCCATCAGCAATAGTAGTAGAGATTGGCACTTTACCAGGGTTTAAAAATTGGAGGAATTAAAAAGTTCCTGAAAAAATAGAGTGGGTTAAAAATGTTTCTTTTTTTATCATGGGTGAGTATATAAGGACAGTCTTGAGGGAAAAAATAATACCTAGTTAAACCTCATCTGTGATACTAATTTGCAAAAAAGTTTTTCAACAGAATATCTGGATGAAAAAAATATATGGTATGAGAAGAGATTTATGTAGTTTTGAATTTGTTTTCTGAAAGTATAAAATTAAAGGTTATATAACTTACTTTTTAATGTGTTAAAAATTGGTTACCTTTAGAAAAAAAATTTTGATTTGTGAACTTAAAAGTTCTTAATGGTAAACTGAATATTAGATGTAAGAAGTACAAGTTTCAAAAACATTAATACAGTCTTATTTTAAAGTACACATTTTTTTCTGTTAGATTCAGAATAAATTGTATTTTGTATCTGTATAAGTAGCTGTTAAAGGTTGCGTTTAGATATGTTGGTGTTTTGTGTTAACTGCATTGATATGATGTTCAATCATATTAGGGTAAATGGCCTGCTGAAACTTTCTTTCTTGTAGTTTTTAAATACAGAAAATTTCTGAGTGAACAAGATAAAAAAATCCTCTGCCATATCAGTAAATTTTAAATTGGCTTAACTCAAATTACTGTACAAGTATTTTGTATTTGCTGATGAACTGTAACACTTTCATCAGTTTTTCTAAATAGAGTTCACTTTTTCTGAAGGTTTTTAGAAATATGTAATAACATCATCTGACAATTTCCTAATCGTATACATGTAATAACCATACAGCTGTAATAAAGACTTAATCTAAAGTTATTGATATTTATCATTTCCTGATTCTACTGACTGACAAAATGAGTGTCATGTCTTTTTATGGTATTGGTAAATTATATGTATAATAATAAATATTTTAATTTTTACTACACTTTTAAATGTTTATTTCACCATTAATAAATATATTATAGTATCACACTCAATTTTAATTTACTTCTTCTGCTACAGTTTTTATAAATTTCATCTTTCATTCCATTCAGTCATTTCACATACGATTAATATTTCATCATTACTGTAAATTGATGATACTGTTATAAGGCATCCTGTACATTGAATTCAAGTGTTTCATCAAACTAAACTGTAACACTGGTGAGCTACAATGATGTGAAATATTAAGTTTAATTTTTTACAATTTCATGGCAAAATTTAATGTATAATTAGATTTGTTGAAAACTTATTCTTAAATAAATAAAAAAATTATTTTGCAGTAATTCTACAAATCTAGATTTCACTGACTAAAAAATTTCAAACAAGGCCTTACCAGGATGTTTCCATCTTAGATGGCCTAAAGAAGTTAACAATGCAGAAATTACAGATACTTTATCTAAATTAACAACTTCCACAAGGACTTCACTGGAAATCTTCTGGAGACAAGATGAATCAGGAAAATTCAGCTTATTCAGTGCATACAAAGTGTTAATCATTTGCTTTAAAGATAACTTTTCTTGACTCTGATTCATATGGAACACCAAAGCACGTAAAAGAGGTGTTGGTCGTCTATTCAATTCAGCAAGCAAGCACAGAAGCTTATTTAATTCTTCTATAGACAGGTTTCCTGCAAGTTCTAGAGCTCTATCTTCAATTTTAGTCATAAAATCTTCAGAGAAATTGCTAGCTTGCTCTAACAGTTTTAAAACATCTGTTCCATCAGAAATTTCAAAATAACGTTTCTGAATAGTTTGAACTAAAGTCTTAACAACTTTTTTTTGTAAATCTGATTCTTGAAAATTTATATGAAAATGTAGACAAATGCTCAGTGCTTTTAAGTTCATTTTACGTGCTTTCCACAAAATTTCATTTTCCAGTGATTGTACTATAAAAGAATCAGGAGAAAAGCCAAGAACAAGTACACTCCTCAAACCTGTAATAAGACCAAGATGTGTCAGCTGGTTACAATTGTTCCCCAAAGTATTACATAAAACTTTGAATCTGTGATCGTTACTAAAATCCTCAAACTTTGCTTGGTTACTCAGAGTAAGTTTACTAAGTTCACTCAACAAAGTAACTGCCCGATTTGGTGTTATATTATTTCCAACAACAACACGCACCAGAATACTTTCTACAGGTCGTACTTTTAAATTCAAGTTCAACTTCAACCCTTTTTCGTTATTCGACTTAGTAGTTTTCAATATTGTACTTTCTAAAACACTTTGTAATACCTCTGAATTAATATCTTGTTTTTTACTTAAAGTAGATGAAAAAGTTGAAAAACAAACGGATATAGGTACAATTTCACTTCTAAATAACTGCTGGGGTTTCGACAATCCAGCCACTATAACTTTAATAGAGCACCTTCTAACTCCGGCTGAAATTCCTAGACGAAGTACGCCAGATACCATTGTTATTAATATTATCCGGTTTCATTTATAATCTATATTAATAAAATTAATTAACAGTTTCTTCGTCATATTCTATGATTGGGTATTAGTATTAAAATCCATACGTTTTACTTTTTGATATCTTTGGTCATTTATACGTACACAGTCCATATAATAATAATAATAAAACACAACCTGAGTTTATTCACTATTATTCCCACATCTCACATCCAATATTACAATGTGTGAGGTGCTGCCATCTAGCATTGAGTTATACAAAAAAAAAATATTCTCATAATAATTAAAATAAATTGTTTGTTGTTAAGCGCAAAGCTACACAACAGGCTATCTATTCGAAACCGGTTTTTAGCGTTGTATACCTTTAGACTTACCGTTAAGCCACTGGAAGACATTAAAATCCAAACTGTTTAGTTAAGGATTGTTAAAAAAAGCAATTTATACTTTAAAATGTTAGCTATACAATTAAAATAATTAATAAAAAGTGCATATATACTGTTACGCCTCCTGTCGTTAGTTAATTTTCCGTAAATTTCGTTCCGACGAAACTTTAGCGACGCAAGTCCTTTCTTAAATAAAACTGGTTTATTCTTTATGAATACAACTTTGCAATACACTTAATTTCCACAGTCGCGCTATAACAAAC